GAGCATATCTAAGGAGCCTTTCCTCTGTAGTCCAGATGTCTATCCACTACATACTAACTCGTGGCTCTAACTTCATGGAGAGTTAAAAGTAGATTCTTCTGGTTTATACATGGGTAGGGATGTGCCTCTATTTCCCTATCCCCCCTGTCTTCTGGCAAAGTTATTTGCTTCCCAAGCTCAGAATTAGGAATAGCCAGAAGGCGGTCTTCCTTTTGGTGCCCTGCTCTCTCCAGTCCTCCTTATAGATTTATAGAGCCATGGCCTTAGGCTCCATGGGACATCCTTCCCAGTCCTAGCCCTAAAATTTGACCCACAGACAGAGCTCGTTGTTCTTGGTCAACACATACTACACACCCGTGTCAGCTCTGCTGTCATCGGGAGGTGTGTGGGGGGGTGGTCTTTCCAAACCACAGGGCCATTGTGCCAAATGTTCTCTGTAGGTTCTGGCCTGGTGCAGTGTAGTGCTTTTAGCTTGAACATGCAAGTGAGCAGCTGTTCTTACTAACGTAGGATATGGTTCTTAAACAGCAGTACAACCATTCCTTAGGTTAGCGTGGGACTCCAGGACTCTCGCTCTCCTGGTCACCTTCCTCTGGACAATTTCCAGCTTGTCAGTATCCTCCTTAGGAGACTCTCAGACCTGGGCTTAATCCTCCAGGTGCAGTTTGACTAAAGTAGAAAACACCAGAACTATTGTTTTGATTAAGAGGAAGTTGGGAGCAGATATAGGATGGTAGAAAGGGCTAACCGTGTGTGGCCTTGAATAGGTCACAACCACTCTCTACCCAAGGTTTCTCCCCTATAAAATGTTAGTGTCAGATCAGATGATTCCTAGGGTTCCTTAAGCCTCTAAATCTACGAATTGAATTGGAGCCCAAGGTACAGGAATAAGGCAGTGCAAATTCCTTAATTGAAAGGCAATGCTCAGTTGTGGTAAGATTTCTAGACTTAGAGTTAGGGAAATAAAGGCACATCCCTACCCATGTATAAACCAGTAGGTTCAAATCCCTCCCCTGATATTTACTTGTTGTGTGACCATAAGTAAATCACTTAAACTTTCTGGCCCTCAGTTTCTTCATCTGTAAAATGGGGATAATAATACTTCACAGGGTTGTCGTGAGGCTCAAATGAGATAATGTTCCTGTGGCTTCCTCTCTAGTTGTTGAGTTCCATCCTGGAACCTCCACTGGAGGAGTTGCCCATGCCAGCCTTACTTGTTTCTCATCGGTCTCTGCCCCTGAACTTTTTTCCCACCTTAACCAATGGGTGCCTCCCTCTCCCCAACTTCCAGCTCCCTTTTATGGGCTGTCTTCCCTATTAGAATGTAAGCTCTTTGAGAATAGAGACTGTCTTTCTTCCTGCTTGAATTTGCATATCGAGGTTTAGCACAGCTCTTGGCATGTAAGAAATGCTTTTCTTTTGTCTTTTTTTTTTTGGCTAGGCAACAGAGTGAAGTGACTTGCCCAGGGTCACACAGCTGGTAAGTATTATGTGTCTGAGGGCAGATTTGAACTCAGGTACTCTTGAATCCAGGGCCAGTGATCTATCCACTCGCTGCCCCTAAGAAATGCTTTTCTAAGCTAATGGATTTAAGGTGCTTCTTGCTGGGCACCAGAGTCCAGACCTCAAGCTCCCCAGTAAGAACAATGCCCTTTACCGATGTAGATTGACAAGGAACAGTCTTTAAAGGGTTGCCTGAGGTGCTGAGAGGTAAAATGACTTGCTTAAGGTCACACAGACAGTATTCTCTGGCAGGGTCCTCGAAACCAAATAGGCTGGACTTCTATAGTGGTCCTCAATCCCCTAAACTATGCTGCCTCTGTAAAGGGCTTTGTAAACTTTAAAGCACCATAAATGTCCAACATCATTGTTATTAGGATAGATAAAGAGCGATTAAGAGAGCACTTCATAAATGAGTTCAGATCATAGTGAGGTTAACTCATTTAGATGAATTATGTCCCAGAATACAGGAAGAATGTGTAGGTGTGATCACAGGACTACTCTGCATGAGTTTGGAGGAACTGTAGAAAACAGGAGGGAGGTGTCAGGGGAATGGGAATGGGTAAATGCCATATCAATTTTTAAAAAGGTGAGGAAGGCCAATTTTGGGAAACTGGATTGGTGAATTTGAATTTGATCCTGAGTAAAATTCTAGAGGAGATTATTAAACAGAAAAAAATCAGGAGGCAGCTTGGTTCCCATAGAAGACTTTTTAGTCATTACCAAACTAAGGTCCCTTGGCTTTTTCATTGAATTACTAGATTGTGCCTAAGACAGTGGTTTTGTGTAGTAGGAACTCAAATCTGTGTTAACTGAATTGAATTAAACTGGTGGATGGGAAATAGTATTATAGAATATAAGGATAACAGAGGCTGATATTTATGTAGATTTCAGGTTTTGAAATCAATTTATAGATATTCTCTTAATTTATTCTCACAACAATCCTGTGAGGTAGGGATTATTATCCCCTTTTTGCAGATGAGGAAACTAAGGCTCAGAATGGTTAAATGAGTTGTCCAATGTCATATAGCTTGTAAGTATCTGAGGTAGGATTTGAAGTCAGGCCTCTCCTGATTCCAAATCCAGTGCTCTTGATTTCAGTGAGGCATGTGACAAAGTCTCCCATGATAGCTTTGCGGATAAGATGGAGAGGTGTAAGTTATATGAGAGTAGAGTTAGGTGGATTCAGAGTTGGTTTGAACCACTTAGAGAGTAAATTTCGTATTATTAGTAGATGAGTGTCAATTTGTAGAGAGGGCTCCAGTGGCCTGTAAAAGGGTGCTGTCTATTTATGTTGTTATCATCAATTTGGGTGAAGGCATAAATAGCATTCTTGTCAACTTTATGGGATGACATATTGTTAGGAGGGAGAGCTAATATGCTAAGAGCCAGAACTCAAAGCCTAAAGATCTCAATAGGCTGGAATGATGAGCTAAAAATAACAACAAGTATGCAACAAAACTGCTTAAGTCCGTTTGTGTAGAGTAGAAAGTTAGGGATGGGGACTAGGTCTGTGATTTTATTGACATCAGGAACTCCTGGGTGAGGAAACTCACTATATAAATCCAAGTCAATCAATCATTCAATCAATAAACGTTTATGAAGTATCCATTTAGTGCTAAGCATTGTGCTAAGTTCTAGTCAGCACTTTCTTTACAAGTAGTAGTCTTAGAAATTTGCCTAGAACAGGAGAAGTTAAAGACTTAGCCAGGGTCACACAGTCTGCCATCCTGTGTTAGAGAAAGTAATTGAACCCAAGTTTTCCTGGCTTCAAGTCTACCTTTCTAATGACTGTGCTATGGTGCTTTTCAGTGGAAAGGTAATCAAGATAAATGTAAAGTCTTGTACTTTGGTTTAAAAAATCAATGGCACAAGTGCAGGTTGGGGGAGACATGGCTTAACAGTAGCTCATGTGGAAACATTTAGAGCTTTCATCAGGCTGCAAAGCTCTATATATTTTAATATGATATGTCTACTCCAAAAGATAATGCAACCTTTTAACTCAATTCAGATCAAATGTGTAAGTGCCTCTCTTTTGCACAGCACCGTGGATACAACGTTATGATAGTTACGATAGTCTCTGCTCTCAAGGAGTTCATCATCTAAATAGATTCTATTAGCAAAGGTACAGGGTCCAGAATGAGGGTGCTGCTTAGTCCGTATCTGGATTAGGACAACACTTCTGGACGCTACATTTAAATAAGAAAAGTAACAAGATGGAATGTGAATCTAGAGGAGAGTGACCAGGATAGTGATGAATCTAGAAACCCTGTAATGAGGAGAATGCTTGAAAGATTTTTAGGATGGAGAAGAGAAAACTGGGGGTGGGGGCACATAATAACTCTCTTCAAATATCTCTCTGAATAGTTGTCTCAAGTGGCAAAAGGACAAGTTTGTTTTCAGTAGTTCCAGAGGGTAAAACTAGGAAGAGAGGGTGGAAGTTCCAAGGAGACAGACTGATCCAGTAAAAAAGAATTTCTAATGTGAAGGGAATTATGATTTTCATATTAATCAAAATGAATACACTAATAATTTAGATTTCTCAGGGCTTCCTTTTTCTCAGTAGACTCAGACTTGGGAGTCAGAGACTCACAATGCAACTTGAAATGATCCATCAAACCCTTGACAGTGCTCTCACAATCACTGCATTCCTGTTCCCGTGTACCTTAAGTGAAGTGAATGAAAGATTGTAGAACCTGTTCCTGTCACAGAACTCTGGTCCTGTGTCCCACCACATAATGGCCACCCAAGACTTGAAACAATACTGTTCCCACAGGACTCCAGAACACTTGTATTGTCCTGCACTGGTGGACTTGTCGTGGGAAACCCCTCAGGCCCTGGAAATGATTGCTTTGTAATCCATGTCCCCCCCTTTCACACTTGTGATTTATGTATGTGAGCTGTGCCTTTACTCCAGCGTGGAGAGCATTCCTTCACTTTGAAAGCAGTTAATTAACCTGCTGCTTGTTTCCTGGCATCCCTGTCTCTGGCTTGCTTTGTACAGCCCTGAATATTCACAGGTTAGAGGCCACTCCTGTCCAGATTGTGTTTAAAATTCTGTCAACACCAACAGCCAGAGCGGCCAAAACACCGGACAGACTGCTGCTGGAGGCTGGGAGCTTCCTGCTGCTGGATGGGTTCAAGCAGGGCTTGATGACATTTTGTCAGAAGGTTTCTGCCACTGGGTAAAAGTTTGGACCAAGTAACTTCTAAGGACCCTTCCAATTCTGAGGTTCGATGACTGTGATTCTTTTTGGTATATTTCTTTGGTATTTCCCTTCAGTGCATTCCCTATTTCCCACTGCCCTCATAGGATGCTCCCTAGATGACCTGGTTCTTCCTTCACCCAGCCTCCCAAGGTTATGTCCATGATACCAACCCTGCTTTGCCCACAGCCAAACAAGGCAGATTACAAGCCACCTCAGTAGTCTATACCCTTCCAGTTGGGAAATCCATCTCAACCCTTCCTGGGCTCCTGGCCATGTGAGGAAGTTACATACACATTATTGAACTCCAACTCTGTGATGGTGATGGTCTTTACATGCCAGAGTATCTCCCTGGGAGGCATCCTCTGCCCTTCTCTGGGCATGTGCCACAAACACAGTGCAGCTATGTCACCCACATAGATGCTGTCAAATTCAAATTTGTCAGTGGTGCCTCTGTAAGAAACAAAGGATACTTTCCATGAGCCTTCCCACACCTAGTTCGTTCATCTATCCATCCATTCATCCATCCATCCATTCATCTATCCATCCATTCATCCATCCATCCATCCATCCATCCATCCATCCATCATCCATCCATCCATCCATCCATCCATCCATCCATCCTCTTGCCTGTTTTATTTATCCATTCATTCGAAGAATACTTATTGTTTGCCTACCATACGTGAAACACTAAAATTGGGCACTTGGGGATACAAAGAGTAAGAAACAGTCCCTGTATTCATTTGTGTTACATTTTAGTTGGAGAGCCAGAACTATCACACATGAAATAATTCAATAACCACACATTGCTGTCTATGCTAAGGCTGAAAGACTGGCAAAGGAAGTAAGTGTTTCTAGGAATTCAGGCCAGGGAGAGACCACTGAAGGCTGGGCTGCTTGGGGGAGGCTCTCTGAAGAAGGTGAGATTGTATCCTTGGCTAATAGGAAGGACTTGGATGGCAGGGAGGGGACAGGGGGAAATAAGTTGAGCCAAGTCATAGAAATGGGGATGCACATGGACTATAGGAGTGGGACAGAATCCAGCCTCACTGGAGAGGCAGAATATGGAAGGTTGGAAAGATCAAAAATATAACTTGGGGTCAAAAGGTGGTGGAGCATTGAATGATAGAATGAGCCAGGGCTTTATCCTGTGGCAGTGGAGAGGGAGTCATTAAAACAAAAGTAGTGACAGAATGTTACCTAAACAACATTTTTTTTAAGGCAGTTGGGGTTAAGTGACTTGCCCAGGGTCACATAGCTAGTAAGTGTCAAGTGTTTGGTCTGAGACCAGATTTGAACCGCCTAAACAGCTTTTAAGATTAATCTGCCAGTAGAACATGGGAGAACCTAGATTTAAAAGTACTATGATTCCTCAGGCATAAGGGACTATGTTAGGGAATACAATTAAAGAATGCTTTTTGGACAAATCCTTGGAATTTGTAAAATAAATATTAATTAAATAGTTATTTATTTAATAAATAATAAAATAAACAAAAATTAACTGATGCTGATATGAGTGGTTTCAAGATTGTAAAGCACTTTACCTGTATTATCTCATCTAAGCCTCTCAAGAGCCCTCTGAGTTAGTTAATCCAGGCATTCTTATGCCCATCTTACAGAAGTTGAGGCTCTGAGCAGTGAGGTAACTTGCTCATGGCAGTTAGTGAGTGTCGGAGGCAGGATTTAAGCTCAGGTCATTGGAGCTCTAAATCCAACACTCTCCTACCCTACCCTGCCTCTCACCTCCATGAAGCTTACCTCCTGAAGGGGAGAGATCATGCCTTTTTATTCTCTGTTATCTCCCAAAGAGCCTAGTGAGCTGGGCACCCAGAATGGATCAGTAAACATAATCTGTGTCCCAGAACCAGACATTGGAAGCTGCCCTCCTCCCTGTCCCCTCCCCCCTCTCCATGCTCCATCCCACTAAAGACAAGAGGACCACGGGACACCTGGCTGTTAAGTCTGTTTTTCTTATTATTCACCCTCCCCTCCCTTCCCTCTTTCCCCTTCTCATGCCCCCATCCATGGGCCTCCCCTACTTTCTAAACACCCTGTGCCTAGGGCTGTTTTCAATGAGAAATTCTTTGGACCGGTCCTTTCTTCCTTCCAGAACGATCCAGGCATTCTCCCTGGTATCTGAATCGCCGGTTTCTATGACGATCTCATAAGCTGCAAAGGAGGACAAAAGCCACACATTAGGAGAGAGGAGGCAGCTGCCCCTAAGTGGGGATCTGGCTGAACAGCCCGTGTCTCCTTGGCCTCATCCTCACCTCTGAGGAGGGGGGAGCATGAGGGTGGGGGGGGGGAGCTGAGGTTAATTACTGGGCTGAAAGGCTAGAAATAGAACCCATGATGGAAAGAACCAGAATCTCCTAAAGATTCAGGGGATAATTAAGTAATAATTCCCATTCTGTTTACTGTAATGATTTCTTCACCATGTAATCAGGGAGACAATCTGAGATCCACTGCAGTAGAGAGGCCTGCCTGGAGGAGGTGTGAGAAAGACACTGGGGGTGGGGTGTGTTGGGATTGAGGAAGGTGTTTCCAGAGGCCTGGCTTTCTGAGTCTCACTGACATAAGCCTAAATCTCTGTCCCATATTTCACCTCTATGACCATTCATCATTCATGTGAAAGATAACTGGGGCGGAAGGCCCCAACAGATGTGAGAAATGATTCATTTGGACCCCTCTTCTATTCCAATCAGTATTAATCATTTTGATATTCTACATAAATCATATAGGGATAGATAGGTTCTTATAGTGGGCCTCAAACTTTAACATAATGTTCACTGCTTGTTTACCAAGTTATGAGGCTCACTTGTGTAAGCATGAGAATGCTGACAAAGATATTTCCATCCTGTTTTACTCAAATTTCATGTCCAAACTCAGCACAGGTGGGATGCCTTGATGCTCTGGAAAGTCCCCCAACTTATTTTTGTGTCTCTGGACCTCTCTCTCATGCCCAACATGAGCAAGTGACCATCTTATGACCACTTAGTCAGGGGAGATGCCCCATGCTTTACCCAACCTGTGAATCCCCCCCCATTTGATATGTCATTTTTGGCTCTCAAGAGCAAAGTCTATCACCCAGTGAGATTCTGTATTTCACCATGCCTCTTTTGCATATTTGGAAACTCTATTAAAACAAGCTCTTGGAAAAAGGGAGCATCTCAGATTGTGGGAAGATCTGAGGTCCACTTCATTAGAGGGGACCATGGACCTTTTAATGAAGTACCATTGGCTCAGAGCTCTGACTCAAGTCTCTTTTATTGTAGGTTGGACAATTTTAATCCCCACACAGAAATATACAAGAAGGGGTCTGAACCAGCTTTTTTTTTTTTAACCAGACAGCTCGATTCTCCAGGTCCATATTCTGTTAGCAGAAGGAATGATAGAATCCCTGAATGTTACTGCTGGATGTTACCTTAGAAATCATCTAGTTCTGCCTTCTCATTCTGTAGAGGACAATGCAGAAGCCCACAGAAGGGCAGTGATTGGCCTAAGGACACACAGCTTATGAAGGGCAGAGCTGGGAATCTGACCAAGGGCCCTGGTTCCAAATCCTTTGCTCTTTCCACTGCACGCTGCTGCTACTGCTGTGAATGACCAGAGCAGATATTTCTCTCTGCTTTGTAGAAACAAAGCACTTTCTACAAGGGGGTCCCTAAAGTCTTAGCACAATTAAAATTTTTTTTCCCTAAGTACACATAAAAACAATTTTGGACATTCACTTCTAAAAAATTTGAGTTCCAAATCCCTTCCTGGATCCCTTCCCCCTCTTTGAGTAGGTAAGCAATTTGATATAGGTTATACATGTACAGTCACGAAAAACGTATTTCCATATTAGTCATGTTGTGAAAGAAAATACAGACCAAAAAAAAATAAAGAAAAAGAAAGTGTAAAAGAAAAAGTATGCTTTGATCTGCATTCAGACGTCATCAGTTCTTTCTCTTTAGGTAGATAGCATTTTTCATCATAAGTCCTTTAGAATTGTCTTGGATTGGCAAACCCCTCCAAATACTCACAAAAAAATGGCTCTAAACAAATTCTAAAGCAGCAGAACCCACAAAAAAGACAGAGTAAAACAAACTTCCAGCCCAAGACAGCCTGGATGGTTGATCGGAAAGGCATATCGCGCCAAGTGGTAAGAGGAGTGCAGTTCGGCGTGGGCGCGCAGGCCACAGCAAACCTAGAGCAGGCCTCAGAGGACTGAATCACGGGCAGCTGTGTGGCTTCCAGACTCCTCAATCCACCAACACCAAAGACAACTTAGAAGGTGAGTGGGAAAATCTGTTTTTGTGGTGAGAGAAGAGCTAGGTCAGAGTCAGTTCCAGAGCGCTGAGCGTGAGCCCCAGGGTGGTGGCTGTGTCCTGAGCTTCCAGCCCACAGACTGAGGGGAAATCGAGTGGCTGATCAGAGGGGGACTGCAGGGATCTCTTTGCCAGTGCTGAGGCAGGAATCTCTTGATTTGCCTGTGCTTGGATCTGGGTCACAGTTCTGGGTGGTGGTCCTGGGGCAAGGAGGAGCACTGGTGTGGTGGAGCTTGTAGTGGCAGTGGAGAAGAAACCTTCCTCACAGTTCCAAGAGAGAAAAGACAGCTTGAAGCCAGTCACTCAAAGACCAGAGCTCAGGCCAAGAAAAGAGTAAACATCTCGACCCTTATCATACCACCTTGGAAGAACTGAAAATTTACAGGTCCCTAGAAGTATCTCTGAAAACAGCTACACAAACCCCTGAAGCTTGGGACAGTACATTCTCCACATTGGAAGCAGACTTTTACTTTAACAAAGAGTTTAAAACTCAAGTAGTTGGCTGGGATCATGAGCAAACCTCACAAAAAGAGTCAGACTATATTATCTTACTTTGGTGACAAAGAAGATCAAAACATACAACCAGAAGAAGACAACAAAGTCAAAGCTCCTACATCCAAAGCCTCCAAGAAAAATATGAATCAGTCCCAGGCCTTGGAAGAGCTCAAAAGGGATTTTGAGAAGCAAGTAAGAGAAGTAGAGGAAAAACTGGGAAGAGAAATGAAAGTGACGCAAGAAAATCATGAAAAACAAGTCAACAGTTTGCTAAAGGAGACCCAAAAAAATACTGAAGAAAATAACACCTTAAAAAATAGCCTAACCCAAATGGCAAAAGAGGTCCAAAAAGCCAATGAGGAAAAGAATGCCCTAAAAAGAAAAATTGGCCAAATGGAAAAGGAAGTCCAAAAGCTTACTGAAGAAAATACTTCCTTAAAAATTAGAATAGAGCAATTGGAAGATAGTGACTTTACGAGAAATCAAGACACAGTAGAACAAATCCAAAAGAATGAAAAATTAGAAAACAATGTGAAATATCTCATTGGAAAAACAACTGACCTGGAAAATAGATCCAGGAGAGAGAATTTAAAAATTATTGGACTATCTGAAAGCCATGATCAAAAAAAGAGCCTAGACATCATCTTTCAAGAAATTATCAAGGAAAACTGCCCTGATATTTTAGAACCAGAGGGCAAAATAGAAATTGAAAGAATCCACCAATCTCCCCTGAAAGAGATCCCCAAAGGAAAACTCCTAGGAATATTGTAGCCAAATTCCAGAGTTCCCAGGTCAAGGAGAAAATATTGCAAGCAGCCAGAAAGAAACAATTCAAGTATGGTGGAAACACAATCAGGATAACACAAGATTTAGCAGCTTCTACATTAAAGGACTGCAGGGCATGGAATATAATATTCTGGAGGGCAAAGGAGATAGGATTACAACCAAGAATCACCTACCCAGCAAAACTGAGTATAATCCTTCAGGGGAAAAAATGGTCATTCAGTGAAATAGAGGACTTTCAAGCATTCTTGATGAAAAGACCAGAGCTGAATAGAAAATTTGACTTTCAAATACAAGACTCAAGTGGAACATGAAGAGGTAAACAGGAAAGAGAAATCATAAGAGACTTATTAAGGCTGAACTGTTTACATTCCTGCATGGAAAGATGATATTTATAACTCATGAGACCTTTGTCAGTATTAGGGTAGGGGAGGGGAAAAATTATATGGATAGATAGATAGATAGATAGATAGATAGATAGATAGATAGATAGATAGAGGGCACAGGGTGAGTTGAAGATGAAGGGGTGATATCTGGAGAATAAAATTAAGGGGTGAGAGAGGATTATACTAGGAGAAGGAGAAAGGGAGAGGTAGAATGGGGTACATTATCTTGCACAAAACAGACAAGAAAAGGTTCTTACAGTGGAGGGGAAACAGGGGAAGGTGAGAGGAAATGAGGGAATCTTATTCTCATAGGATTTGGCTTAAGGAGGGAATAACATATACACTCAATTGGGTATGGAAATCTGTCTTACCCTACAGGAAAATAGGGGAGGAAGGGGACAAGAGAGCAGGGGGATGATAGAGAGAAGGGCAGATTGGGAAAGGGGTAATCAGAAGGAAGTACTTCTGAGGAGGGACAGGGTCAAAAGAAAGAATAGAATAAATGGGGGGCAGGATAGGATTAAGGGAAATAGAGTTAGCTTTTCACAACATGTCTACTACGCATCACAACAGTTATGCATAACTGCACACGTATGGCCTGTATTGACTTGCTTGCCTTTTCAATGACGGTGGGTGGGGTTGGAGGAAGGGAGAAAATTTGGAACCCAAAGTTTTAAAAACACATGTTTAAAAAAAATGTTTCCACATGCAACTGGGAAATAAGAAATACAGGAAATGAGGTACAGAAATCTATCCCACCCTACAAGAAAATACAAAGGGAAGGGGATAAGAGAAGGGGGGGGGAGATAGAAGGGAGGGCAGACTAGGGGAAGGGCTATTCAGAATGCATGCCATCTTGGGGGGGGGAGGGGCAAGATGGGGTGAAAATATGGAATTCAAAATCTTGTGGAAGTAAATGTTGAAAAATAAAAATAAATAAATTTATATATTTAAAAAATAAAAAAATAGAAAAAAAGAATTGTCTTGGATCATTGTATTGCTGAGAATAGCTGAATCATTCACAGTTGATTATCCTACAATATTGTTATTACTGTGTACAGTGTTCTCCTGGATCTGCGTTCTTTACTTTGCATCAGTTCATATAAGTCTTCCCAAGTTTTTCTGAAAGCATCTGGATCATCATTTCTTATATCACAATAATAAGTAGTCCATCACAGAGCAGCTAGGTGGCACAGTGGATAAGGCCCTGGGCTTGGAATCAGGAAGATTCATCTTCATGAGTTCAAATTTTCTGACCTCAGACACTTAGTAGTTGTATGTCCCTGGACAAGTCACTTAACCCTGTTTGCCTCAGTTTCCTCATCTATAAAATGAACTGGAGAAGGAAATGACAAACCATTCTAGTATCTTTGCCAAGAAATCCCCAAATGGGGTCACAGAGAGTTGGACATGACTGAAATGATTCAATAACAACAACAAAATGGTTTAGATCTGACTCTCTTGCATGTGAAAAAATATTTTATATTTGTATTCATGTAGTTCTTAGATTTGTCTTGGCAGGTAGACTCCCAAGTACTTTATGTTGTCTACAGTTATTTTAAATGGAATTTCTCTTTCTGTACAACAAAGCTGCTGGGCTTTGTTGTTAATATACAGAAATCCTGATGATTTATGTGAATTTATTTTATATCTTACAACTTTATTTAAGTTGTTAATTATTTTTACTAGCTTTTTAGTTGATTCTCTAGGATTTTCTAAGTATACCATCATATCATCTGCAAAGAGTGATAGTTTTGTTTCCTCATTGCCTATTTTAATTCCTTCTCTTTCTCTTTTTTCCCTCTTATTGCTCTAGCTAACATTTCTAGTACAATATTGAATAATTGTGGTGATAATGGGCATCTTTGCTTCACCCCTGATCTTACTGGGAAGGCTTCTGGCTCTTCCTCATTACCGATAATGCTTGCTAATAGATTTAAATAAATATTACTTATCATTTTAAGGAAAGTTCCATTTATTCCTATGCTTTCTAGTGTTTTTAATAGGAATGAGCATTGTATTTTGTCAAAAGCTTTTTCTGTGTATGTTGAGATAATCATATAATTTCTGTTGTTATTGTTATTGGTATGATCAATTATGCTGATGGTTTTCCTAGTATTGAACCAGCCCTGAATTCCTGGTATAAATCCCACACGGTCATGGTAGAGGATCTTTGCGATCTATTGACATCATCTCATTGCTAGTATTTTAATTAAAATTTTCCCTTCAATATTCATTAAGGAATTAGTATAGTTTTAAACTACATTTTATTTAAGTACAGCTTAAACTGTATATGCCTTGTATATAAGATTGCTTTTGATTCCCACAAAAATCTTGTGAGACAGGATTTTTATCCCATTTTACAGATGAAGAAGCTGATCCAGAGAATAAGCTGACCCATGTCATATAACTAGTGAGTTCATGACAGAGCCAGACCTGGGACCCAAACCTTCTAACTCAAGTCCAAAACTCTTTCCTCTCTGTTATGCTGCCTAAGGAAGAAGAAATTTTTAAAAAATTTCCTCTCAGCCAGGGAAGTAGTTGCTTAAGACTACTAGCTGTGTCACCTAAAACAAGTCCTCTCAAGGCCTCAAGTTTCCTCATCTGTAAAGTGGACAAGATGATCTCTAAGACTCTCTACAATTCTAATGTTCTAGCCTATGAAGCAACTGCCTGCCACAGGAAGGGACGAAGCTCCCTGACATGAAAACAAAGCAGATGTAGTTTCATGCCAAACAACTTAGCTCAGCCCCTGGAGAGAGGACTAGCCTGATCTATGGGGTTTTCTTGCCGTTTGTTTAATTTCCATGATTCATGACCATGAGCAGTCAACAGCATTTTGTTGGTACAACTCAAGTGATTTTTCCACCTCAGAAATATGATCTCTGACTTCTGAATTGTAAATCTAAATTTACCCACCCATCCCAAGGTAAGCTAAAGGATAAGTCTTAACAATTGTTTTCCTTTCCTGCTCTAAGCCAAAGAGCTTTGGGCCTCTTTACCTGCCACCTCCAGGGTCCACGTCACTGGCTTAAGGCCCCTGTTGACTTCTGTGAGTTCCTGCTCTAGACAGAGTGGTGATAGAAAGCCTTAGGCAGGATTCTAGATAGAGTAAGTGGACTCCTGTAAGGTTGGATTGGAGGAATGTTGCTGGATCGCAGTCTGTCTACAAGGAATGCTCCCATTGACCACTGAAAATTTCTACCACTTGTGACATGCCTCCTGCCTGCCTCAAGGTCTCTTGGGAGAGTAACTCCTATGGCTAGCATCACTATCCAAAGGCTAACTCAGGACTTCCCCACATTCAGAGACAAAACGTGGTTTTCTATGTGAACGTGGTTTCAGGGGCACCTGCAGAAACCCTCTTTTTCTCTACAATCTCTCTCCCAGGAATGGCATCTGAATTTCCACCATTATGGATTAACGCCTTTGAGTTGAGGCATGTTGGCCCCTGTGATAATGCAACTTTGTTACCTGGGAGGTAACCCCTTTGTGGGGGCTAATTTTCTAATGAATCAGCTGGAATTTCACAGAAGGGGATAGCACAGAGAGTAGGTTGGTTGTAATGAGGGTAGAGGAAAAGTATGGCATTTGGAATTTTTAGGTATCAAGGGGACAGTGTAGGAGCACCAGCTGCTTAGGGTGCTGGGTGGAGGGGGGGCAGGAAGGATGAATGGAAGGAAACTGAAGAACTTTACCCACTCCCCAACTCTTCTTGGGGCTTCTCTAGCTCCTAGACTTACTGGTCTCCTCCATCTCCTCCAAGATCTCGTTGTTGGCACAGCGCAAGTCTCGGACTGTCTGTCTGTCCTCCTCGCTCTTTGATAGCCAGCGTTCACATGGGAAGCGAAATGTCTCATCCCGGGAGTTGTCCCTCACGTCTATGTAGTTCAGATGCCAGCCAGGAAATAATCCTGTGGGGACAGGGATGGGACTGAGAGTGAAACTTCCCCTCCCTCCCTTCCCCTTCAACCAGCCTCCCTTCCTCCACGGAGGTCCACCTCTTAGCTGTGTGCCTTCAGGCAAGCTCATTCCTCTCGCTTAGCCTCTCAGGTTATTCATCTATAGAATGGGTGTCTGGGGAAGAAGATGCTAAAGCTTTAAAACTCCTTCTGGCTCTAAGTGTTCATGGCTCCCTTTGGGGAGAGAGTCTCTAAGAATCATCAAAAGTAGCACATCTGTCTGGCCTAAGGCACGCTGAGCTGGGGGCCAAAGCCTATGATGATCTTGGTAAAGAGACTATGACCAGAGGCAGCCAGTCTAACCTCTGCCTGCTGGAGTGAGCTAGCTGACGCCACCAGACAGCACAGAGAGCCTGTGGTTGGTAGCTGTCCCCTCAGGAAAAGCCACAAAGGCAGCATTGTTGAACTCTGCAAGTCCTTGTGGAGAATCTGAAATACAGCTGCTAGTTGTCGGGCATGGTTGAGAAAACAGACCAATTATTCACAGCTCTAAGGTTGTCTGCAGACCCCCGAGTGTGTGGCTGTCAATAGTGCTGTAATCTGCATTGCACACTGTATGAGGAACATTTCATTTAATTGTAATATAAATTGGGCTGTCTAGTTGCTTCTCAGTCCCTGAGAACCTTGGAAGAGAAAGGTAATTTCTCCACCTTTCTTACATACTATATATACCTCTTTACTTTCATTTGTTCATTCATTCAACAAAATTTTTAAATTGTCTACTATGTGCAGTACAATGTTCTAGGTACTGAGAGATAGGGAATAATAAATGATGTGCAGTCTCTGCCCTCAAGGAGCTTATTATCTGGTAGTAGATGGAATAATATAACACCCTTTTGTTGAATGAGAAAAAGAGCAAAGACCAAAGATGAATAATGTCATTGGCATGACTATTCCCTGTGGCAATACAGATCAAAATCCCAAACTCTTCTAATTTTGAAGATGGTTTTTGAGAGTTGTGAGTAGAGAGTTCATCAGCCTGCAGCCAACCTTCTAGTGATGTCTCTCCTAACCGAATTAAGTTGGTCCTCAAAGGACCATACAGTCCGTCACTGGGTCTCTAGTCAAAGCCATTCTAGCTTGGTAGGACACACCTGAATTTGTTCTGTGCTGGCTTCACCTTCAAGATTGAACCCAAGTAACTTCCATGCCATGATGAGTAAGGCAGAAATGGAGGAATTGATAATATAATATTATGTTGTTATAATAATATACAAGTTATGACATGTAAATGTAGAGGAGAGGTCAGAATAAGACTTTCATGTCAAGTTCAAGGTGGAAAGGGTCACTGAGGGGGAGGGTAAGGTGGAAATCAGAGAAGACTTCATGGAAGAGGTGGCTGAAATGCCACCTTGAAGGAAAAGCCTTGTAGGAAGGGAAAGCTTTCAACAGGTGAAGATATGGAGACATCATTTGGGGTAGAGGACATAACATATACACAGGCAGGGACGTGGGAGGAAACAACAGGAACTTAAAGAATTAATGACAAGTAGCATGACACTATAGAAAGAGCATGGAATTTGGAATCAGCAGACTTAGGTTCTGCTCCCTGTGAGAACTTCCCAAAGATTCATAGGTTTGGGAGTCAGGCAGCAAGAAAGAAATGTGAGCTGTCTTCCACAGAAAGCTCATTGGCAAGAGGGGTCCTCCCTAAGAGACAGAGGACAATTTGATTGAAGGTTTCAGCTGAACAAAACACATTTTTTATTGAGTGAAAAAGGGGTGGAGACCAAAAAGAATTGTTCATTTTAAAAATAACCTCTACTGAATTTAGAGTCAAATAATTTCATTAACTTCTTCTTTAATCTGCTATTTTTGAATTTGAGAATGTCCTTGCTTTAATTATCCTTTGACTCCCTCTTCCAACTATCTAGTTGGGCTCTTTATGCCCTTGGGAAAATCTCTTTGGTCAATGTGAAAATGGGCTGATTGATGAGTTTTCATAGAAAGATGAAGACAATCCTAGTCCATTCATTCTCACAAATATTCATTAAGTGTGTGCAGCTGACTATGCTAGATGCTAGAGGGCACCAACATTAAACAAGACACTGGTTCCTGTTCTCATGAAGTTTAAACTCTAGGTGAAGGGTTCTTACCTAGGTCTGTGAACCTCTAAAAAATATTTTGATAACTGTATTTCATTACAATTGCTTTCCTTTGCAATCCTATGTAATTTACTTTACGCATTTAAAAACATGATTCTGACAAGGGGTTCGTGGCTTCACAAGACTGCCAAGGGGTCCAGGGCAAAAAAAAAAAAGTGAAGTATTCCTGCTCTAAGCAAATGTTGGAGAGCAGATATAAATAAATCTTACAGTAGAATCCCCAAAGAACTCAAATAGCAAATTTAAAGGTCAAAGAGGAGGTGTAAAGGCAAGAGAGAAGACAAACTTTAGAGAATTTCCAAGGGTCAGACCACCAATGAGTGTGTGTGTGTGTGTGTGTGTGTGTGTGTGTGTTTGTGTGTGTAATGAAGAAAGGAAGCAAGAAGAGTACTTTGGGTGAAGTTATTTTGACACTGAATTGACAGTACATTTGCTCACTCTTCAAACAAAAGAAAAATCTACCTTCTGGAAAAGAACTGAAATTGCAACACCAATTCCCCGGAGTCAGCTCAGCTCAAGGCTCCTTAATGGGGCCTTTCTGAGTGGCTTTTACCTGGTTTTCTTCCTTTTTAAGATCCTCTTTCCCAGGAAGACAGGACACTTTCAGATATTTCCCACCTCCACTGTCCTAAGTAGGCAGGGATGATTTCACTGACAAGACTAAGCATTGTACCACAAACACCAAGGAACAGTGCTGACTCTTTGGTGTCAATCAATCAACAAGCATTGATTAAGCGCCCACCATATGCCAGGAACTGTGGTAGATGCTAGTGTCACAAAGGATAAAACATTCTCAGCTCTCAAGGAGCCCATACTGTAACAAAGGAGAGAATATGCATTAAGGGTCATTGTTGGGGATTTGCCATCATTCTGGTTATTCAGAACAAAGAATGAAAAGGGCTAAAACTTTGTCTTTTGTGCTCTCCAGTGCCCCCCTCAGGAATTCCAATCTTTCTTCTATATGTGCCTTTTCTTTCCTTTCACCCCAGGCCCTTAAGTGAACCCACTAAGATCCTTTGAAGCTTCCATGCATCCATGGGTTTAGGGCCTTTAAAGAAGACCTGAACAAGCACTCAGAGCCTTCACTAAGAGGAGAGATGCAAAGAACCTAAGTTGTTAGCCCTTCTGAGCATTTTTGACGTTTCAGTAGAGAACTCACTGCTCAATTATCTCCAAATCATACCAAATGATGTCTATTTTGCCTCCAAGAAAGGCCAGCCTTGTGATGGTCTCTCAACTGATTTCCTGGGATTCTGGAGCAAAATAGAATTTGAATGAGCCTATCTCATGGGTAGAGAAACTAAAAACCTAAGGTGGGGAAATGACCATGCCCAGGAAGGTCCAGGGAATTCAGCAGCAGAGCAGGGACTGGATTTTAGGTGCTGCCTGTCTCACGCTTTTAAGACAGCAAGAGATATTCTCAGATAAGCAAAGATACCTTGAGAGGGAAATGCATCAGCAGGAAGGACCAGCTTGGATTTCTAGGGAGCTGAGTTAACAAGATAGTGGTTCAGATTCAAGAAGGGGACCAGCAGCAAGCATAGACCAAGTAAATGACCGCCTACAAGGTTGGTTTGTTTGTTTAAATCAGAAAAGCTATCTCTTCCGAACCCCCACCTCAGTTAGTCTCATGCTTAAAACTTCTATTAGAGTTTCCCTATGGTTTTCAAGAGATGCCAGTTAAAATGAAAATGCCCTGAGAGATATTGATCAATATTAATTACTCAGCAAGGGATATCTCATCAACTTCTTTTCAATTCCAATAAAAAGGGAACTGATTGTATCATTGTACAATTGTACATTGTACTGATTGTACTCAGTCCCAGGTGGGGAGACTGAGCCTCTCCAAGGTTCTGTATGCTGTTAGCTAAGTGATCACAAGGTTCCCTCTTCTATTCCTGTAAAGAGGATGTCTCTTCCATATACAAATCATACGTTCCTGGCCTGGCTTTGGAAATCCACTTGGATAGAAATTACTCTAGCACTTGGCTTAAAGCTCTTCCTTTTCCTTCCTCTTCTCCACTCAGATCTCTTGCTAGACCAATCCACACCTCTTTCAAAATTGAGCTCAAAACTCATCTCTTCTAGGAGGGCTTGCTCAGTGACCCTCTCTCTAGTTGGGTTTGTTTCCTTACATTGCATTACTTCCAAACGCACCGTACTAGTATTACTTCCTTCACAGAGACTCTAAGGATCCCTGAGGGCAGGGATTGTGATTTCTATTTGCTTATTATCTGCCTTTTACTCCATATTGTGCCTGGTACTGGGTTTTGCACAAAGGGACTCTTCAGTCAGTGCTATCAGTGGACTTTTATAGAGCAATAGTCTTCAAAATGGGGGCTGGCCTCCCCAAGGGACATCGCATCACGTGCAGGGAGGTATAGACTAACCCTAAGAGGTAAATAATAAACAAATCGGAAGGTAGAAAGATTTAATAAGGCTATACATATATATCAACATATATGTGTGTGTATGCATACATATATCTATATAAGCATAGATGTATGTGTGCAGGCATATATATCTATATCCACTATATATATATATATATATATATATATATAATATCTATATCTCAAAGGACAATAAATATAAAAGCATTGCATGGTCCTATAAAAAGAGAATCTGTGGGGCTAAAGCTCAGAATAAGCTGAGGCTGGTGATGAATGCAAAGGACAACGAAAAGGGCTTTTTTTGGTTTTTGTTTTTGTTTTGTGCTATGTTGATAGAAAGAGGAAGATCAAAGAAAGAATAGGGCAGCTGCTCGGGATGAATAGCATCATGATAATGGATGATGAAGAGAAGTCAGAACTATTGAAATCTTACTTTGTTTCTGTTTCCTCTACC